AATTTGTAGGAACTAGCTGAAACCGTAAACCTGTACATAATGAAGATGAAGATGAGCTGGAAACAATGAAGATATACATTTAGTAACATGTTCATAATCTATCTACAAAATTTCGAATAATGTTTTTAATCTTTTGATCACTGTAATATGTTGCGAATTTAGTTTATGAAATAATGTACATATTGATATATAAACATATTATATATGTAAACAGTATTCTCATACGGTATTCTTAAAACTTGAAGCAGAGTGCGGACATTCTTACTTGTGTCTTCTATTTAGAGTTTCAAGAAAATAAATACTGACCAGTTACATCTTTTAATTCAACTCCTACAGTTTGAGTAAGGATCATGCCTTTTAATCAAAAGTTACCGTTCATATATATATATATATATATATATATATTATTGAAATCTCTAATAGATTTTTTTTTCCAGGATAGCGGCGCAGGGGAAGAACAAGAAAAGAAAGGAGAAGGAGAAAAAGAAGGCACATAACCCATAGTCCCTTAATGAGAAGGGTTTTGCCTGACGAAATAGTTCGTTGTGCAAAGTTAACAACGATGTCGAGCAAAAAAAGTTTACGTGGGGTTTTTGACAATTCATTGTGGACTTTTGTCCAGCAGCTATAAAGTTCAAAAATCCGATGAACTTATTATTCGTTGGTCAAATGGTGACACTGTAAGCGCTGATATTTACCTTGGCACCAAAGCATCACCCGACAAAATTTATTTTGCCCCGCAAATTTTTATCGTCCCACCAAGCCTTTGATAAAAACCTAAACATTAACCAAGTTTGCCCGACTAAATTTTTTGGTCAGATAAAGTGTCTTGACTCAATAAAAAATAATTCATAAAAAGCAAACTTTCATTGAGCAAATGATAATTTATCGTAGTGTATATTTGTGTAAACTTTTTTCCTTCAAACGAAAAAAGAAAGGGTCCATTGCGCAGAAAGACCAAATTCCATCATCGGCTAAGGACAAATTCCATATCCTAATCTTTCAATTCCTCGTAATCTCTCTTATCTATAAATTTGAATATTCTGTGCAATATATTATTCAAAATATCAGATAATCCTAATCTTGTCTTATCAGAATATCAAATAATAAAACAAACAGTCCCAATATTCTTTCAGTGACACCTGGCATCAATTCTCTTTGGTAGAATGCGTAGCATGCATGCATGGCGAGGGTTTGTGCCTGCCTATAAATATGATAGCAGGAATGGAGCTATAAGGATATATAGACAGTGGTTAGGTTTATGCTACTCACAAGATTGTGAACTTTAGTTAGTTAGTTAGTTAGAGAGTTCGTTCTCTATGTATACTTCATTGTAATATCTTCTTCTCTAAGAAATCAATACAACAGTTTTAGACTTTCTCTCTCTAGTTCTTGAAACCCTAATCATTTTCTCATTCCCTCTCTAAACTAACAGGAGTAACTGAATTTCACCAGAGAATCAACATGGCAACAATACTACCAAACGCTTTTTAAGTCGAAATCAAACAAAAACCACAGGTACCTGAACTGCGTACCTTGTGCAAAGATCAATCAAAAAGGGATCTCCAATTCTGCGTAGAGGATTGTGACACGAATTTCAGAGTTGAGAATGCACAAACCACTGGATTTGTGCATATCAAAGATGTTGCCAACGGAAAATACTTGAAGACGGCAGCAAACCAGCCACTGCTAAGACACCAAACGAAGACCGAGACGAAGAGGATTGCACACTATTCGAGCCTTTGAATGTTGGACCAAACACCAGGAAAAATGTGATCTTCCGAATAGTCCCCGTGCAAAGCGGCCTTTACCTAAGGCCATACTGTGTTCAGGGCGAGGACTCAATCCTCTGCGCTGTGAACCCAAACCCTGACCCTTGTCGAATGGATCTCTTTATAGCCCATTCCCGGAGTTGATCATCAGGTGATGTGAAACCCTTATTAAATCTTACCGTGATATATAGGTGTGTATGTGAAATGAATAAATACAAAACCTATCTAATTGGATAGGTTGTGTAGTGGTGTGTTCAATATAAGTAGTAGATGCACATACATACAACTGCGCATGTAAGCATTCATGCATGTAATTATTAGCTTGTAGTTGAAAAAAAAAAAAAACAAATTCAAAATTATTAAGACATTCATTTGTTGTAAAGAAAATGAGCAGATTAATACAAATTTGCCAAGAAATACTAAAATAACTATCATTTATAACAACTGTCTTATAGTTTCAAATTTGCGTATTTTTGTTAGACATAATCTTTGAGAAAATAGACCTAAAAGTTAGAATTTGCCTTTCTTGAACCAACCTTTTTGCCGAGTTTCTCCGCCTAATTCCCAGTAAATACTGCAAACTAATCAATCGAAGTTGCAGGAGATGAAAGATTAAAGGACATCAAATGAAAAATCTTCAACTATCAAAGTAGCAGAAAATTGGGAGCTTATAAGAAAATACAGAATTTAGTGATAAAAATAATTGTATAAATGAACTGGAAAACTGCGATCTCTAGGAGGTGGAATCTACAGCACCCCAACCCCCAATGCTTCTTCATCATCCAGATCCCTACCCCAGACTCTCTCTCTCTCTCTCTCTCTCTGTAACAGCGGCAACCCTAGCAACAGTCAACTTCTTCTCTTCTTTTTATTTTTCTTTCCTGCTCCTAAGCCTATGCTTATCGCAACATTTGATCCTTCGTCCTCCCCGTTCCATATTCCATTATGAAATTTTAATTTTGGTTGTTCAAACTATGGTGGGCTACACTTTTATATTTCATGCTAATATATATATCTATGGCTACAACATGTTTATTCGGTTCAATTTCGTTTTACATATTAATATGGGTACAATGTTTTTTTGGAGAATATTACGTCAAATAGTTTTGGTTGCTGTATTTTATGTACCCATATGCATGCCTACAAAACATTGTGGTACATTCTTTTTCCTTGAGTTTTTAATTGTACCCATGAGTTTTTTCTCTTTTATTTCTTTTTAGACAATGTTTATTATATATTTCTTGTAAATTTGGTATGTACCCATTTGGTATTTAGGGTACATTGCTTTTGTATGTACCCATAACACTACTCGATAAAATTTGTAGAAATATGTGCACGATTGTTTATTGTATACATTGTTATTTTTAAGTCGCATAATTCATGAGATTTGTAAATCTAAAATCCCACAAATTTTAAAATTTCATAATTTTTTTTTTAGCTTTGAACGATTGACTAAGTTTCATAATTATTGGGATTTTGAATTACATAAATTTTTGGATTTAAATACTTTTTTTCTTCTAACAATCGATATTATATACTCTAAGGGAAAGGGGTGGGTTTAGTACTAGTTTGGTACTGAGGTACTTTTATAAAAAGCGGGTATAAAAAAAAGCTGAGCTCAAAAAGGTGATTGGTAAACACTTAAAAACAACTTATTTTCACAGTTTTGGGTGAAAAAAAGCTGAAAACGTGAAGTAGCAAAAATGAGCTTATTCTCACAGCACAACAGAAGCAGTTTTTTTCAAAGCACAGCAATACCAAACCAACCCTAAGCCTTACAATGGACTAACAATAATGTGGTTCAAATTCACCTTTGGTGAGAATCAAACCTAAGACATTTCACTTACTAGTGAAGAGAAATACCACTAGACCATAGTACTAAGTGGCTTGGATTAAATACCTTAAATGTTGTTGATTGAAGCAACTTTGAAATGAAAAACACAATAAGGCAGAGTGCTTTAAATGCTGGACTTCAATCAACAATTTTAAATTACAATTATTAATTAAAAAAATGATATGGAAATATAATAAATAGTAAAATGATGAGGTGTACAAAGTCAATGGACTTTGATTAAACATTGAAAAATAATATGGTTTTAATTTTTTATCAAAGTCCATTGACTTTATACACCTCATTATGCTATTAATATGTATTTTCATATGTTTGATATTAATTTTTTTGTCAAATGAAAAATTTTGTTAAATTAAATGTTAGAATAGTCACGGACGGGGTTCGAACTACTTGACATGTTATGGGATTTAAAATCCCATATTAAATGACATATGAATTAAAAACTAATACAATAAAAAGAAAATACTCAACAATTTTGATTGAATATAAATATATAAAAACATGTAACAATATAACTTTGAAATAATAAATGTCAAAAGAATGTACCCATAGTGTTAAAAAAAAATGTAAAAGGGGTACACTTTATTATAAAATATCTATACATTATAAATAAATAAATAAGAGATTTTACATTAAAAATTGGGTACATTTTACATAAAAAAAGGGTACGTTTACAAAAGAAAAAATGGGTACAGTTTACATATAAAAAAAATGGTACATTTATAAAGAAAAATGGGTGCATTATAAATAAATTATGAGTATAAATAAACATTTTAAAATATGGGTACAAAATGAAATTAAAACATGAGTACAAATTAAAATTAAAAAGAAAATTAGTTCAAATTAAAAAAAGGTTGCATATTAAAAATGGTACAAACTAAAAATAGAATTCAAATCAATTTACCTACATTTATTTAAATATAGGTAAATTATTTTAAAATAATACTAATAATTATTATGATTCCCCTTTCATTCACAACAAAAGGAAGAGGATGATCTTCGGATGCATTTCATGGGGATTCTAGGGATTCCTATATTCTAGCCGTTCATCGTACATCATGCGGTCAGTTTTCGTCAGATACTATATTTGTGTTTAATTTTAAATAAAAAAATCAAATAATTTCTGACCGCACGATAAATAACTAAGATATTAGGATTCCTAGGATTCTCACAAAGTGAATCCGGATGGAATCCAATTCCATAACAAAACATATTTGTGCCGCGGTGAAAAAAATTATAATTTATTCCATCAACACTAAATTTTCTTTGGTGACCGTGCAGGAAGATCATTCTAAGGATTTAGAATTTAGGATGATTTAGTGCTAATCGCTCCTCTCTCGACCATAATTTTTCAATGTACCGAAACACAACCCGGTATATTAAATATCAAAATACAAGTGGTTGGATACTTGAAAAAAATATTTCGGTTACTTGATGCTTAGGCTTTGTGCCCCGTGTATTTCCAACCACTTGTTACAATTAGTTGTGCTAACCAAAGGCAAATTCAAACCACGTTATTGCTAGCCTATTGTGAGGTTAAGTCCACCCCGCCCCCTTAGTTTAGATATATCGTCTGTTAAAAAAAACATAAAAAGATGTCTCAAATTAATTAATTGCTAAAGCAAGTAGCTTGTAACTTAATTGCTAAGGCAAGTAGTTTCGTATTTGAATCTTCTTGCCCATAATTTAATTAATTGTTAAGGAGCCTAAACCAACCCGAAAATATAGGTATAAAGTAGAAATTAATTCGGAAAAAAAGAAAAGAAAAAGGAGAAATTAATTCGGAAAAAAAGAAAAGAAAAGAGGGAAATTAATCAATTAATTAATGAAGTTTCAATAACATGTTTCGGTTTTTGTATAATAGTGGAGAAGTCTATAGACTATAGGGTTTAGGTTTCAAAAATGTACTATAACATCCATTAATCTAAACTGAATTGCCTGAGCAAAGCAAACAATTCAATCTCATTCCTCCATATATAAATGACCTTGTTTTATTACTTCGTAGGGCTAATTTCTTCCGAAAGATTCACAACCAGCGGTTTCCAACATTAAAATATTACAACATGATGGACACATTACACAAACAGTTTTTCCAATTTCCAACATTAAAACCATATATGTAAACCACCTAGACATAAAGAAATAAAAAAATACATGAAAATTAAGGACCGACTTGAGCTTGGAATTCACATAATGCTTTTAAGAGTAATAAATGTTCTGCTGTATTAAGTTCTTTGTAATGAGATATCTCCTCTCTGCACAAACAGATGTCTCTGCACAAACAGCACAATGGCAAAAATGTTAGTCTATTTAAAAAATGAAACCGGATTAAATACAGTGAATGATGCTAAGATGAATAAAACCGAAACCCCGGACAACAAACTGGATGCTGGGAAGAAGGGAAAAAACATGCATGAATAAAATTTCCAATTTTTCAACCACCCCTAATTTATAATTAGGCTAAGCAAACACACAGCAAACACAACATAATCACAATAAATAATGTAAATCTATCAACTATTCTGCACAGGATTTCAAAAATGGATAACTAACCTGTAATTTAGAAACTTATGTCGTCCACTTGCTTGTTGATTCAGAAGTTTGGGAAGAGTATTCCATGAGCTGCAAAACACAGTGAAACAAAGAAAATCTAACAAAGACAAAAAGTAGTAGTTGAATCAATCATACTTTTGCCAAAATTTATGCCCATATGGTACAATTGGGGATTGTGGCAGGCCATGGATATTGATATTGATCTCAAACCTCACAAATCATATATAATTCCTTAAGAACCATATGTAATTAATCAACAAACAAACAGCTAAAAGCCATCCATGCAACTAATTATCTCACATATAATGATTGTATGCATATCTAGGACAAAACTGAACCAAATTTAAAGAATTATACGGAGAGTTCTCTCATTGCTTCCATACGGTCATCAATTAAGTTCTGCAGAATTATGTCTCATAGTTTCTAGCAATGAAAGAAACACATAGCAGTCATACTCTGAACTAAAAATATTCTTTAATTTCAGTAATAACGTTCTTAAGGGAGAGAATGAAACTGGAATTTTATATTTTGGAGATTTCAGTGCAAACATACATACATACCACATGTGCACGGAAAGTAGACTGAATTCAAAATTGCAACTATATCCTCAATTGGCAATCCAAGATTTTACCATCTGTAAAAGTAGATTTTTTCAAATTTATGCAGTTTAATGTTCTATGAATTGAAATCCCTGTTAAAAAATGTAATGACGGGTGAGGAATTACAATTTCATACCAACATAAGTCTTGAAATGTTATATTTTGAGTTCAAGGAAGCCAAAAGCTGAATTCATAGCTTACAAAAAGATGCAAATTTTTGCTATACTATGAAAAGCCAGGCTCATGACACATAATCTCTAAGCAGCCAAAGAAGAAAAAAACTAAAAGCTAAGATATTGTCTGTACATTTCAACTACCTTAGGTAAAGCAATGACATAGACCTGATGTTCCAATGATGCAAAACTTGCAAAATTGGGCAATTAGAAAAATTAATCCTTTTGGTTACAAATATTCAATTAGATGAATTTTAAATATGAACAAAAAAAAAATGCACATAAAAGCAATTTATGAAGATTCAGAGAGCAGAGAGGAAAAGAAATCGACCTCAGCAAGAGTAGTAGTACTGCAGTTTGTGAAAGGTGCCCAATCCTTAGTCTCTTCAATTAGATTCATTTTAAATAGGACCCGCTGCCGCTATTTTTTCGATGTAGGATAATCGGGTCCTTACGTTTCCCCAATAGAAAACTCTAAAATATGATTATATATCAGAATTCATAAACCAAGTCAGAGGAAACATTACGTTTCCCAAATTCTCAAATCCGTTCAAAGAAACTTACCATGAAATCACAGCATCTTTACAAATCATCTTCATATCTGCACCAAAAATAACGAAAAAGAAGTGCAATAAGCCCAAGAAACAAAAGATCAGTAGAAACAAACCACCAAAATCAAGTATCGGAGAAACAAAAGATTAATTTTTCTAATGGATTCTCTCAAAGATAATATCGTCAAATTTGTAAGATTAAGCAAGCAAGAGAGAGTGTTGGCTTGCGGAGCGGAAGTTGTTAATCGACATATTATTCTGTCCTAAGCTAAGCAACTGAAGGTTTGTTAAGGCACATAACGTAATCGAACCAAGCTTAAATATTTTTAAATAAAACAGAAGAATTTTTTTTTTTTTTGAAACCAAGATAAAAATCTGAAAAAAAAAACTCACAAAATGCATGCAAGGTTCTCCAAGGAAGGAAAGAGTTGCGAACTGCAGAAGACAACAGTTGAGAACAACAAACCACAAATTCGCCATAAACTGAAAACGAACGAAAATTAATCAATCAATTTCATAAAAATAGAGGAAAAATTAACAAACCCGAACAAATAGGATCTGGATAAATGAAATCAATATATACCTTGTATATACACACCTTGAACACAAAGGGCTTGCAAAGCTGCGCATGAAAGCCTCAAAATTGGGACATGAGTGTTTCTTGAAACCAAATAAGCGCGCACATATCAAATAAGTGAACGGAAAGAAAAAACTAAGAAGAGGTTGGAAACGGAACAATAGAAAAAAAACAGAAATGGATATGGGAAACGGAACAAAAAGCAGGGTAAATTCACTGTGTATCACATGTTTTAATATTTTTTTGGTCTTCCCACTATCTATACGTGAGTTTAAAAAATCAAGAAGGTATAAATTTTTATTTTGTGTTGTGCCACAAAATCACGTGGTCTGGTTTTAATCACATTTGTTTAATATTTTTTGATCTGCCCACCAGCTATACATAGGTTTAAAGAATTAAGAAAAGACTAACATTATGTTTGGATGAAGAAATTTAAGATTACTAAGGAATTTAAAAATGACGGAAATTGAAATGACGAGATTTTATATTCTAGAATTTGTAAATTTTCTTGTTTGGCTAACCTAAAAGAACAATGGAATTGAATGCGGAATTTGTTATTTTTAAACTCTCAATCGTAGAAATTGGGAAATGACACCTATTTACATGGAATTTGAACTTGGGAATTGGAGGTCTCAAATTCCAAGTTTTTTTTCCACGCGGAAATTCTAAATTTCTATGTTTATGAATCCAAACAAAGAAATTGGTGCATGTCAATTTACAAATTCTGACTTTTATCAAAATTCCAAGTTTATTTCCCTCATCCAAACATAGTGTAAAGGAAAGACTCTGCAGATGGAGAAACGGGTGAATAGAAAGGACAAATTTGGAATTTTACTGTAAAAAAAACAAAAAGTAATATCTGAAGACTAACTTGGGTAGTATTTTGAGCCGCACTATCCTAGAACAGTAACCAGAATTTTAGGTTTTGGTATCCATAGAATATAATTTCAGCCCTCGAAAATTCATAGTCTGTGATAGCCAAGAAAGTTACGTTACGTCACCGTGCAGTACATGAACAAGTGCATGGGTGATCGGTTATGCACAACAATCGACTTTTGCATATTCTAATTCTCTAATATTTTTCGTCTTTTTGTTTGGAATCTTCCTCGTGTCATCAGCCGCTTATCCTGTACCCAACTATGCCCTCTATTTCAACCCAGCTCTCAGCTAGCGTGTCATTATTTACGATCTCTCTCTCACTCTCACTCAAACTCTGAAACACAGAATCCATGGAAGGTCGGAGATTCCTGCGTTTTTTCTCCCTTTCCCTCTGCATAAGCCTAATCCTCCTCTTCACTTGGTCCCACCTCCCTTACGCGCCGCCGTACGCCTCCGACCTCCTCGACTGCACAACAAACTCCGCCTGGTGCTCCTCCAAAAACCGCATCCAATCCAAACCCCATATCCCAACGCGCCGCCTCAAAGACCACAGCTCCGACACCCCCCACCACCCTCTCGACCCCCTCACCATCCAAGAACTCAACGCCGTCCGCACCATCCTCAACTCCCACGCGCTCTTCACCTCCACCTCCTCCTACGCGCTCCACTCCGTCGAGCTCCAGGAGCCCGACAAGTCCCTCGTCCTCGGATGGAAGCACGGCGACGCTCTCTTCCCCAGAAAGGCCTCTATTGTCGCACGTGTCGACAGCAAGTCGCTCGTGCTAACCGTCGACCTGACCACGTCCGAGGTGACCGTTCACGAGACCGGCTCCCACTACGGTTACCCGACGATGACGCTGGAGGAGCTGACCGCTGCCACGTTCAGCCCCCTCAAGAACGCTGATTTCAACCGTACGATCGTCGAGCGCGGGGTCGATCTGGCGGACCTGAGGTGTCTCCCGCTTTCCACGGGGTGGTACGGCGTGGCCGACGAGAACAGGAGGTTGATTAAGGTGCAGTGCTACTCCACCAAGGATACTGTGAACTTCTACATGCGTCCAATCGAAGGGTTAACTGTTCTCGTTGACCTGGACACCAAACAAGTGCTGGAGATTTCGGATAAGGGCAGGAGCATCCCCATACCGAAGGCCGCCAATACAGATTATAGGTACTCAGCCCAAAGGCCCGATCAAGTGAAAAAGGTGATCAAGCCCATATCTATAGAACAGCCGGATGGGCCGAGTTTTACGGTAGAAAATGATCATTTGGTCAAATGGGCAAATTGGGAATTTCACTTGAAGCCTGACGCCAGGGCGGGCGTCATTGTATCCCGGGCCAAAGTCCGGGATCCGGATACCGGGGAGTTGAGGGATGTGATGTACAAAGGGTTTACGTCAGAGTTGTTTGTGCCTTACATGGACCCCACCGATGCGTGGTACTTTAAGACCTATATGGATGCCGGCGAATACGGGTTCGGGTTACAGGGAATGCCTCTGGAGCCGCTTAACGATTGTCCGCGTAACGCCTACTATATGGATGGTGTGTTTGCGGCAGCTGATGGAAAACCATACGTCCGATCAAACATGGTTTGCATATTCGAGAGCTATGCGGGCGATATCGGGTGGCGGCACACAGAGTGTCCAATAACGGGCATGGAGGTGAGGAACTTAATGTTACATATATCGTGTTTATTAGTTTTATGTTACATTATTAATATTTTGAATAGAAGTAAGACTCATCTATACATGCAATTTCATTTCTATTAAACAAAATATTTAGTATATTAGGTAAATTTAGCAAGTGTATCGGTTTTATGCAAGTAAATAGCATTGGCGATGATAATATATAATTAGTACAAAAATAATGCGTTGTGACAGGTTAGGGAAGTGAGGCCAAAGGTGACCTTGGTAGTTAGAATGGCAGCATCAGTTGCTAACTATGATTATATCGTCGACTGGGAGTTCCAAACAGACGGGCTAATCAGAGTTAAGGTTAGTGGTGATTACTTCTCCTATAATTACAATCATTTTTGCATTTTATGTTTCCTTTTGAGTTTGATTAAAATCCTGATATATATATATATATGTATGTATGTTCTCTTAGAGTGTAATTAGGATTAATAGTGCATGGCGTATCACCTGATTGATTGTGGTTGTTTCTAATTTATGAGTCTCGTAAGCATGAATATCTTTGATTGTGGTCGTTTATTTATAAGTCTTACAAGCTTGAATAACTAGAATTGGCCGGGGAACTAATCCTGTCATTTATTGTATTTTTATGGAAATTCACCATAATATTTTGTATTTTAAGATTGTTATTTATGAGTCTTACAAACTTGAATAACTAGAATTTACCGATGGACTAATCCTGTCATTTATTGTATTTTTATGGAAATTCACCATAATATTTTGTTTTTTAAGATTGTTAATACTACATATAATACGTGTGTGCAACAAACATATAGGTTGGACTTAGTGGCATTTTGATGGTGAAAGGCACCTCCTATGAGAACATGAACCAAGTCTCATCTAGCCCAGAGAATCTCTATGGCACCCTCTTGTCGGAGAACGTTATTGGCGTTATTCACGATCATTACGTCACATTTCATCTTGATATGGACGTGGACGGCTCAGATAACTCCTTTATGAAGGTGAATCTCCAAAGGCAGTCTAACCCCCCAACTGAATCACCAAGGAAAAGCTACTTGAAAGCTACTAAAACCGTTGCCGAAACTGAGAAAGATGCACAGATTAAGCTCAAACTCTACGACCCGTCCGAATTCCACGTGATCAACCCGTCGAAAAAGACACGGATTGGAAACCCTGTAGGGTACAAGTTGGTTCCCGGTGGCACTGCTGCTAGCTTGCTTGATCTTGACGACCCTCCCCAAAAGAGAGGTGCTTTTACAAACAATCAAATTTGGGTTACCCCATACAATAGGAGTGAACAATGGGCGGGTGGGTTGTTTGTAGACCAAAGCACGGGTGAAGATACGCTTGCCGTGTGGTCTAACAGGTACCTACATACTCATTTATTTGCATTGAATTTACTGATCACATGTACACAATACTGATACAATTCGATTCATTTTGATATTGTAGGGACCGACCAATCGAGAACAAGGACATTGTGGTTTGGTACACATTAGGGTTTCATCACATACCCTGTCAAGAAGACTTCCCTATAATGCCAACTGTGTCATCTAGCTTCGATATCAAACCTGTCAATTTCTTTGAGAGTAACCCCATACTTCGGACTCCGCCTAACGTTGCCACAGATCTACCCGTTTGCACGGCTGCCGCTTCAGCTTAATTAAGGTAGAGCGCATTCCACATGAAATCCGTTGCTTTAACCTCAAAGATGTATTTATGATGAGTTGCTTGTGGAAAGTTTCCTCCATATGTGCCCACTTTGGGGTTTTCGATGAAATTAGCTTTGATGCTAATTTTGGGGTTTTTTTTTTTTTACCTCTCTTTTCGGTGGCAACTTGCAATTTTCAGTGTTGAAGTTTGTGCATTGGTGCTAATTTTTACTATAAAAGTACTTTCTTATAATGATTTATCTTATTTTAATAATAAACCACAACCCACTCACCTCCCATCGCATTAGCCCTTCATTCATTATGATTTTCAACTGATTTTTTTTTTTTTTTTTAACTTTCTTTTCTGTGGCAACTTGCAATTTTCAGTGTTGAAGTTTGTGCATTGGTGCTAATTCTGCCCTTGGTCATGTGTGTTGCACGTGCGTGGCTATCGGGTTTTGTGGAGAAGATGCTAGAAGCATCTTTCATTTAGCTCTCTCCTCTTTTTTTATTCTCTGTTTTTCTTTCTTTTTCTATGCATCTCTGTGTGCGTCTTGGTGTTTTCATCACGATCCCATCCTTTAGAAGGGTGGTTAGCCTGTTTTTTCCTGCTGTTTTCTGTGGAGGAATCGCAACGGTTTGGCTAATTTGGTTAGTGTGAGACGTTATTTTGTGTTTGGTTGGTTAACCTGGCGGAATAAAAATGGACAGACCGGCTGTTTCGGCAGGTTAACATGGTGGTGATGACCTAGGGTTGTCTAAATGGTACCATCATTTCTATGCATGCCTACCTCCATACTTGATTTTTCTAGTGGTATCAGATACCTACTTGGACAAGGTCTCAAGTTCTAAATTTCCAAATATATCTCAAGTTTTATATTTTCTAATAATGCGATCGATTTGTCAGAAATTCAAAGAGACGGATCATTTGATTCACTCCTAACCATACTAATATTGTAATGTTGAATTTTATTACAAAATATTTCGATGTTATTAAGAGTGAAATCATAAACTTATATATCGTATTTTATTTTCTTAATTCCCTAATGTGGAACTTATATTCAACATTGATATGCTTATATATACACAAAATATATTATAAAGTAGTACGTGATCGACTAAGATATACCAACATCACTTTTGCATGAAAATTCTTCTGTAAGAGCAGAGCTCCAACCTTTTTTATGTGACAAGACTTTAGTAGAATTCATAGACTTTTATTGATATCCACACACTTTTTCTTGATAGACTCCTATATATTTTTGAGAGTTTAATGCTCGACTTTTTTTAGAGTTCAAGGGAATTTAACAAACTTTGTAATAATTATACCTCTTTTTTGGTTAAGAAACCAATTAGGAGTAAGTAATGTTACACTTATGTAATTTACTTTTTCCTGATATGACCAAAATTGTTAGACATATGAAAGAATCTTCAACCCATAAACATTATATCTTTTTATTCCAAATTCTTGTAAATTGTGTGTTTCTAATGTCGTGCTAGAGTGGTGGAGTTGGGATGCAGTGGGGATGGGCATATAAGAGGGGAGTAAAGGTGGTGATCATGATGATGGCAGTGTCAACAGTCATAGGCGGGGGCGGCGACGATAAAGTGGTCGCAGAAGGTTATGATGATGATGGTTGTGACAATGTGGTGGTAGTAGAGGTAGTGGAGGGAGTGGCGGTGGCGGGTAAGTTAACATGGTATTATTTCAAGTGGCGATCATGTTGGTTGTATCGGTGGAGGCTTAAATAAGGTTCTAGGAGCTTGTGACACGGTGATGATTGTATGACAAGGTGCTAGTAGAAGAAGTGAGATGATTGTGATGGTAGCGGTATCAATGGTGACGACATGGTGTTGCAGAAGTGGAGATATCTGATTCTTATTGCAGCGGGTGGTGGAGTAATCATTAGAAGTAATAAAACAAAATCCATCAAAAATTTAGGAGGAGAGGTTGGATTTATTATGACAACAAGTATACCATAAAACACATCAAAGTCTCTGAAAGTCCATGACTTTTTTAAAATGAAAAACTAACGAAAAGTCTAAAAAAAACTTTAGTTTTAATGAAAAATGACAAATAAAGGTGTAGTGAATAGTACCAGGGAAAGGTAAAAATGTGGTTTTTCGTTAAAAGTGAACAGTACCGGAAGTGTTTCGTTAAAACTCCATTTTTAAAATCCTTTAAAATGAATGAAATATTGAATACATCCAGACTTTTGTAGGTTGGTAAAAAAGTCATAATATAATACTACAAGATTTTTGTAGACTTTTTAAAAGTCATAAAAAAAAAACTTTATTCAATACAGGGTGACTTGTATTAGTCTCCAACAAAACCAGGATTGAATACACTTGAATTTAAAGTCTAGTTTGGCACATCATATTAAGCACCGGAGAGGATTAATAATATGGTAGCCATTGTTTGGTGCAATCTCATATTAAATAAGCACCCGCTTAATTATACCATCTATCAAATTTAGTACGGTTGACACTGGACAATTAATACAACCCAAAAGCTTGGTATTATTAATCGCTTCTTTTTCCGTCACATTTCAGTCGTCGACGTCAAAGCACGACGATGTGGACGAAGAGGTAGTTGAGATCAAGAAGCCCGATCGATCGTCAACAACAACAAGCTTAGCAACTCAATCATCTTCCGTCACCGACATCGTTGGATCCAACTCCGACGGTTTCGGTTAACTCGGACAATGCCACAAATTGATTTCTTTTCTTCATCAACTTGGATCTTCAATTTAATCAATAGTTGTTTTGGTTGGTGAATCGATGTGGGTTTTGGGTGATTGAAGAAATGAGGAAGTGGGTTCGTATGGAAGGGTGTAATTTGAAGCTTGGGTAAGATGGTGAAGAAAGGAAGGCACGTTGGGAAGAGACCTGGGTTTGCACCTTCCCTTTTTTCTAATTTTTTTTTTAATTTTGTCTTAATGATATTTAATTACTTTTTTTTTACTTCTGTTTTTCTCCGTTTTTTCATTTTAACAACAATTATTATGTGATTTAAAAAAATAATAATTATAGTCCAACGTATTATGCGATGGACAAATTAATCTGACATAACACCAAACGCCCGACTAATTTAGTCAGTACTAGACTATTTGTTCTATCCGACTAAAATAGTCTGTATAATCCGAGTTGCCAAACGAGGCCTAAGAGTCATATACAATACACTCCCTTAAACTTAAAGCTTCCATTTCTTTTTTCTAGTTATTGATAACATCAAAGATACTAATTTCAGCGGTATCATTTGAGTAAAAATAAATTAAGCATGTTTTGCCATTTAGTACAACGGTTTAGTGGTATTCCTCTTCACTTGTTAGTGAGAGACCTTATATTCGATTCTCGTCAAAAATAAATTTGAATCATATTATTGCTAATCTATTGTGAAGATAATATTGTTTGTTCAAAACAAGATAATAAAATAATACCGCCAATCGACTAACAATATTTTTACCCTAATCATGCTACATCTATTTTTATATAAACCAACAAATAGATTCATTTAACAACATTCAAGTTACCTCCAAATCCTAATGTTAAACCTTTTTACTAAAACAATTTATTCAAAATCTTCTTAATAGAGGCATCGACTAATTCTATTTAAGAAGATTCTTGATATTCATTTAATGTGTAACTTAGCTTTCCCGAGTTTTATTGGGGGTTAGTACTACCCTTCGGACTTGAGCAATTTGAAATATCATTTTTCATCATTTTAACAGAGAAGATAAATAAAACAAGTCAAATCTAGAAATGCTTGAGAAAAGAAAATCGTAGAAAGAGGAACATAAGCTTGAGGTTTTCAAAACAAATGCTCTTATACCTAGAAATATCTAGGAACAAAAGTTCGGTATAAATTCATAATTGATATACCAATATCTCACAAGAGAACATTATCGTAAACATGCAGCTTTTGAGAAATATTTTTGTGCTTAAGTTGGTATTAATTATTACAAGTGAAGTATTTTAAGGAATTTGATAGCAGCATTGTTCTACTCATAGAGTGCTGGATCTGATAACCTTGGAGTTGGGATGGCAACCAAAGGAAGCTTCTTCTTCAACACAATCCCAAACTTCTCAGAAAGATCCAACTTCTCTCCCTCTGGCAATTTCCAATCGAAATAATGCAGAAGTGTATCAAGTGAATGCATCACCATGCTCTCAGCCATTGCAATCCCAACACATATTCTTCTGCCCGAACCAAATGGAAATTTGTTGAAGTCCTTCCTACTGTAGTCCTATTTGGTGTCCAAGAACCTCTCCGGATTGAACTCCAACGGGTTTTCCCAAATCGAAGGGTCTCTAGTATGGCCCAAACATTGATGAAAATCTGAGACCCTTTCAGAATAGTGTAGCCTCCCACAATGCATGTTTCACTTGGGCAATGAGAGACTAACAGAGGCAGGGCTGGGTGCAAGCGCAAAGTTTCTTTCATCACAGCTTGTAAGAGCATCTCCAGTGAGGGGCTCTATATGGGGCTAGAAAAGTGGTGGATATAGCCCATTTTAGAGCTTCGAGGAATCTTTGGGGCTTTATAAAAGAATATCTCTCAATGATGGGCTATATCTTTCGGGCTCTATATGGGGCTATATATATTTATTTATATAGTAATTTGATTCAGCGATTTTTTTTTTTGTTAGCTTTTCTTAAGTTGATTTTTGGACGTGCTATCTTAATTAATTTTTTTTTTTTATATGAACCCTTCAACCTAAAAAGTTTAAATCGTGACAAAGTTTGATTTCATCACTTATGAATCGTTCATTGGATTAAATTCCTTTATCTTAATCTCATTTGTTGAAAGAAACAAACTCCCACTTTGCCCTCTAAAATAATTTGATTTTCATGTATAACACAACAATTTACCTAACACACATACAATTTTGAAAAAAAATATTTGAAAATTTCACCGATCAATGCCCATGAATGTTATATCAATTTGAAATTTTAATTCTTATGAAATTTAAAACAATCATTAATTAGCCAAATTGCAAGAAAAATAAGTAAGAAAAAAGAATTAAAAAAATAATAAAAGGAGAGTATAAGTGTACTTGCAAGTGGAGGGAGAGTGATAGAATTTTGCTCATATGGGTTTCTACTTTTTTTGTGAGACCCACTGTTTTTTGGGGTTAGATGTAGCCTGATTTTATGCTACCCAAAAAAGAAAGTTGCTAGCCCCAGTGATGGATCTAGCCCTATTTTCTGGCTCATTGGAGATGAAATTTCTCGCTAAGACTAGAAATATGGTAGGCTCATGGAGGATAAAGCCCCCATTGGGGATGTTCTAAGTAGGGAGAGTGGAGTGTTCTAGAAAGTACAACACTTTGGAGGTTTTACGTTTTGTTTGGACTCCGAGTTTTCTTCTATGGAGTTTGTGAGGCCTAGATATTATCCGCCATTCTACCTTCAACTTTATCTTCTGTATTTTCCATTTTTCTTTCACTTTGAAAAAGGGCTCATTGGTGACTTCGTCACGTCAGTCCATTCTTCGAGAGGCGGAAACGACTCACAGAGGTATTTCAACCTTCTTTAACTGTCATCGTGCAATTCATCAGTACCAGATCAAAATTCCAATCCCAATATAAGACCAGAGTTTACCAAGTAAAACCTTTGCAAGGACCACTAATTTATATAGCATGACCAAAATCCAAAAATAGTCGCCAATCGGCCTTGTCTTGTATACGTACTTGCAATTTTGTTCTTTTGATATAAGTAACATTAGGGAAGAGGAGAATCAAACATGAATGCAGAAGTGAATATTTTTAACAAATTGAGCTAGTAAACGTTTGTCTGATTGTATTAGCAATTAAATACCAATTTAAGTTCAAGAGCTGAGAAGTAAAAACTCTAGGGTCTAATTAGTTTTTGGCAACTCTCCCCCACCTTTTGTCAACTCAACTCTTTCAACCAAGACAATCTGAAACATAGCTTTTTAGTGAAGTGACATAACGATTCCAACATGGTCAATGTATAATTTAACTTCTGCAGTTAAACATTCAAAAATTCAGAAGAAAACAAATCACAAGAGACTAGGATAGTCTCGAGGGTCAAACGTTTGGTGCTTAGGATCGGATTGGATTGGATTAGAAAGGTAAACCCCACGAGGAGCGGAGCTTCGGTGAGCTGTTACAATTTCCCTTGAGCCAAACATCCCATCAACCAAACATGTAGTGGTCTATAAACTAGTTGCAATCCGAAGGATGAGAGCACTCAAGCCTCCAAAGCCGCCTGCTTCAGACAATCAACGTTACACAATCCAACTGACCTCACCATATCTCCCAATCTACCACCATGGATTTCAATAGTCAGCATTAACAAAAACTGTAGACGAAATGGAAAAGAAAACATAGATTCATCGATAATCAACTTACCGGTCGAAGCTATTTCTAGCCCTCTCCGACTGATCTGTGCTGCTCCTCAACTTTCCAGACCGATCGGTGCTCTTTCTTGACTTCTCTCTCTTTTCAGTGCTTGTACTTGATCTTTCTCTACTGTCTGTGCTTAGCCTAGACTTGTCTCGCTTCCCGGTGCTGGACCTAGACTTGTCCCTTAAGTCAGTGCTTGATCTTGCCTTGTCCCCGATGTCTTCAATCTTCAGAGGAGACTCTGATTGATCTGCGCTTTGTTCGGTTGAATTTCGAAGACGGGGTAATTTCTCTATGGCAGATATAAACTTCCTGAGATGCCTCAAGTATTCTGGATAGAGTTCCAAGTTACAATGGTTGCCTCCTTTGAGCCACAAAGGTTCATACTTCTCTTTGCAAAGCTCCCACAGCTGTTTTCCATGGGAGAAATCCACAACTTCATCTTCAGTTCCCTACAACATTTTAACAAAAAGAGTTTGGGATTCAATTCCAAGAAATGTGGTAGGTTAGAGAACTCCAAGGCTATAGTTGGAACATAAATTCTCTTGTACAGGATGTCCGTTCTTTATTAAAAGATTAACGCCTATTCTATAAAGAACTAGTGGATGAAGACATGCATGAATTACCAAAACTGCAACTATTCAAGTGCTAAAAGATGTGGTAGGATTAGAGCAAAAATTTCCATTAGTTCTTTATTGAAAAGACGTTTGTTCCATAGTCGGAATCCATGCATATTGTAACTTTGTAAGTAATTAAATCACCACATAGAAATAAAGATGAAGACTTACATGTATCACCAAAACTGGGCAACTGACAAGTGGGATCTTATCGATATTCTACACCAGAAGCAAAGCATATTCAATAACAGAATTCGATAATCCAGTCCACGAAAAATCTGGTCTTGTTCAATAAAAGTGGAAAAGTACGAGGTTTAAACCTTGTAAATGTCAAACCAGAATGTTTTCTTGACATGGTACATTACTCGGAGGCCGGACAATATTGGACTGTGAAGAACAACAGCCCTCAAGTTAGGCAAACGAACGGCCAAATCCAAAGCAGGTCCGCTTCCAACTGACTGTCCGTACAGAATGACATCTTCCTCCTTTACACCGAACTTCTCTTCAAGGCATTTGTATGCTGCCTCTATGTCTGCATATGTGTCCTGCTCACTTGGCTAGTTGATAGTAAAAGGCACATTATCATCAATATGGTACAAAATTGGAGAAATAACCTCTTATGTCCCGGAATATGTCTCATCTTCTTTTTCGCTTTCTCACTTGTCCTACCTAACTGATGAGCGAAAAAAAGAGGGGATTTACCCCCGGGATATGGAAGTAATCTATCCATAAACTTGGGACCATCAAATTGCTAATGGTACTGTTGTTTTTCCCAATCCAGAACAAAGAAGTAAACAAACAGTTCTTTACGAAATAATCGGGATTCAGAACATGCCAAATTAGGTAATGTCAAATAGTGACACGTGTTCAGTTAAACACTGGATTTGACACAATTGATTTAGTTACAGAAATTTATATAGGAACTAGCTAACTATAGGCAGGTTATACCTTTCCTGAAGATTGTCCATAGCCAGAATAATCGTACCTGCAAATATAGCACAAGAAAAAAAAAATCAAAACTAATCTGGATAAGCAACATAGAAACAACGAGATGATTTTCGTTTGATTTATTTAATTTAAATGCCAAAAATGAATAATTCTGCACATAAATCATTTTTGGAAAATATTAGAAGAAAAAACATATGAAAACTGATATAATATATATAGACTGACCCCATGAGATTGACACCCAGATGAAGGCTAAGCTCAGTGAAAATGTGGTACATCTGACCAAGATCAGCAGCATTTCCATGGGAGTACAGAAGAGTGAGTGAAGCACATGGATTTTTGACATACATGGCCACAATCTCATTCCCTTTTTTTGTGCTCAGCCCCACCACATCAACGTCGTCTCGGGGAAGAACATTGGAGATCCTCATTTTTCCGGTTGGTTCGTCGACGTACGTGTCATATGACGGAGGGTCCGGTGGGAAAAATGCAAACTTTGCAGCCATAGACGATGTTGCAGACCCCATTTTTTTATCCGTGGAAATTTTTTGACAGAGGGTGTTATTTAAGTGGTCTGGAGAGAATTGTAGTGCATGGTAAAGTTTATGAGAATATTTGAATCATATAGGAGTTTAAAGCATGCAGCTTTAAAAGATTTGTGTTTGAATTCTCTTGAAAAGAAAAAAAAGGTTTTCCATTTGGGTTTTTAGAGATAAAAGTGTTTGAATTAATTCCTGTTTTAAGAGAGAAAGATTTGAAGGGCACGACAAAGAGATATAGAGCAAGGAATTCTTGTCGGATAATCATACGGGACAACAAAAAAAGAAAATCAAAGGGAAAAAGAAAGAAAAAAAAAAAAAAAAGAAAGAGCAAAACTTTTGCAAATCAATTGCCTCAAAATCGTCCCTTGAATTTATTTTCGTAAAACTAAAATCAACGAGACCATTTTACAACTAATAAATGGATTGTGATACGTTGATTTCTTTGAAATAAACGGAAAAGAATAATATTTGGCTACTGAAATGATGAACATGAGTTTCTACTTAAAATTGTTTGTTACCGATTTATAGAATTTTGTATTTATGATCAGAATCGTTTATATTATAAATCACTTTATAAAGATTGTCTCTTCAAAAAATTAATTAAAAATAAGGTCGTTTGGTCATGAAACTGTATAAAAACAAAATAACGAAATTAGTAAAAACATTACGAACCGTCTATGTATTTGCTACAATAGATTGACTAAACGGCCATAGTTTTAATTCATTTTTTGTAGTCGTGATCTTTACGTAGTGATTCATATTATAAACAGTTCTGATCATAAGCACTAAACTTATTATTCAAACACAAAGAGTTTCTAGTAGGAGTTCCTTGGGAAATGAATGAATTGTTGGCAAATATGTTCTTTAAAAAAATAAAAATTTGTTTGTGAGAGAGATGTTTTAAGTAGAAATATTTAATTTGAAAAAAAAATATTTTGAATGTTTGCTCTTAAAAAATCCACAGAATTCCGGTTAATTATGAACTTATGACTTCCATTGCAGACCAACCCAGCAGAATTAAAAATTGAGAGAGCCAAAATGCAAAAGTGAAATGAATGATGAATTTCTGGGGTAATTGATGAAAAATAAGCAAAATAAAATGAGTGGGTGGCCGGGTGGGGGATGGCTGAGGGAACATCAAATGATTGCATGTTGGACTATTATTTACTTTTACCACAACCCACTTTTACACCTATCAAGGCCCAAATACTAGTATGCATAACGAGGCCCATCAGCCCATCAGCCCAAACACAAACGAGATGACGATATCACCAATACAAGCGATATTAGAATAAGTGCAAGTGATTTTAACTATTTGAGCTATAATTTATTTCTGACGAGATAAATAAAAGTAATTTTTACATTCTCTTTTTCTCATCATGCAAAGTTGCATACACCTCTCTGTTTTCTAGCACTTGAAATTTGAAATTAGATAAATCAAAAGAAAATTATGAAATAAAAATAAGAAGAAGGGTGCAAAAGAAAACGGAGATGTGAAATCCCTACCCTTTAAAGACTAAATCACCTTCATAATTTACTTGGATTTTTCAAATGCAAGGAATTAAACTATTTTTCACTTGTTTAATTTACTTGGATTTTTGCATGCGGTCCAATATTCTAATAGATAGAGTGTTGGGTTTCCACTCATGCGTCCCGGATTCCAAACTTTACCCCCCTCTAAGTTATTGTAATAGTGTTGAACTCTCTTCCCTCCCTTATCAATAATAAACTTTTTACTTGACAAGAAGATTAGCAAATACATAAATGCATGGATTCACATAAACAGAAAAGCAAAAATTTAATTCATTAATTTCAATGATTCATGGTACCTAATTATTTGATCTAATATTGAATGATTCTTCAACCAATGTAGACCTAATTAATGTTGAAATCTCAATTCCTTTTCTGCTGGCTCGTACCATGCATCTTGCAAGGGTGGTTCTATCCGCATACTCAATTTTACTTTTACATTTCTCTCTTAATTTTTTATCATCGGATCGAATAAATTAAAGAAGATTAATAAATAAAAATTACAAAGATGTGTAAATGATAAAAACAAGAATGTATGAATAGCATTAGGAAAAACAATTGATAACCGGTAAGGTTCTACAATTCTATACTTCAATTTTCAATTTTTATTTTTATTTTTTTTTGTTTGAGAATTATATCATTCATGCAAAAATTATATTGTTTCATTGAATAAAGATATAGAATTTGGTGGCATGCAGCACATGATTGTGGCTAGCTATACGCAAAATACCATGCACCCACGTAACGTTTGCACAAATTCCGACTTTGGAGAAATTTACATATTTAGAGGTTGTTTGATGAGTTGCTATCCCTAGGGTAAAAGTTAAAAACAAATGAGAGTTACACTTTAGACGAGGGACACCCACTGAAAGACTTCGTTGGATCGATGAAACCCCTTTAATTATATTCTAATTAATTAGTTCTTAAACCCTAACACAAGTCCATATGTTCTGAACATATTTGCGAGCACTTAATTATATGCAAAGAGAGCAGTGATTAAAAAATCTACTACATGCAGCGCGCATATATATATATATATATATATATATATATATATGGATGTTTCTTATTCTCTTAATTTGATCCAATGCATTGTTTTTGGTTTTTTCTGCATATGTTACATTATTTAAATAACAAAAACAACCATAATTATGGTTAAAATATTTAGAATATGCAAACTCATGATTTTGTGAGACCATGGTGATCAGTTATTACACCACTAGCTAGGACGTTGGATGTAAGGGTGGAGGTTTTGATTAACATTGGGGTTGAAATAGGTAATGCCCATTGGAAATATTAGAAATATAAAAATAAAAAATAGTATGAGCCGAAATTTGTCTATCCCTCCATGAAGCTCCACCACTGAGACTAGAGATAAAATTGGTGCAGAAAATTAGAGTTATAATTTGACGAGCGTCGTTTTGGTATTTATTACATTTTTCTATACAAATTTTAAAGTCTAAACTTTCAAATATGAGGAAAAAAATAATTTATCATTTTCAAACCTAGCTATTTTCTCACCAACCAAACACATAGGATTTGGATTATAACTGATAACATATATTCATTGTTAGTCGTTACCAGGTAGTAGGAATAGTAGCCTACCAAAAGTCACGTATTAATGTAGACATGGAATTGAGGAATTAGGGTTTAGGTTTTGCCAACCTCGGCATGCAAAAAATTAGGCCAAACTAGTTCTTCGATGTACGTGTATATGGCGGCAGACACCAGACAGGCACAAAACACTTAAACGTCCGAAGCTTCCGTTCCACGTTATGTACTACGTTTCTCCTCTAACTATGCATTTCCCCTTGAAGTTAAAAATATAAATATGCGACCAGTTAGTTTTTTCTTCTGAAATTTCGAGAACACACATCAAATTCTTCTCATATGCTTCGATATCTTCGTTCCCAGATCAAAATACACATGGGTTGACACGATGTTTCATGTACCGTTTGTAATAGGTGTTCTTGGCCACTGCTTTACTAATTAAAATATTCATAAAACAGGTGCGTTTTTGGAAACCCCAGTTAGGTCCTCTAGCTAGTTTGACTTGACTTAGGGTATGTGTGTGTGCGCGCGCGCACCACCTATATATATGATTTGGGTTTACACATTTGACTCTCTTTGAAATCCTACCGAATTAACACATTCACTGACTGACTGAAGTACTAATATATAAGATCATTCCATTTATTCTTCTTGCTTCGACTGAGATTTGGGTCCTATGAAATTTTCTTATTGCTTGGTGTTTGTGCTTGTTTCTGCTGCAAGCATATGGAATATCTCTGCAAATTCCCGTCATCAATTAGGTACCTGCTTTTCTTTCTTCTTCTTCTTCTTCTGTATTGTCATTCATTTTTTCCGTAATATTATTGAATTACATTACAGAATGTTTTAGCTTACTATTGGAAATAACATTTCGGTTTTCTACAATTTGAAGGCGAAAATGCTGTTGTGCCAAATGATGTTTCGACTATGAAGGTACATACAACATATATTTTTGAGACTTGCATTTTGATGTAATTAAATAGCACTCCAAACTGTATTATTTGCCATACTTGTTGTATGATTTGTAATACTGTATATCCTCAACAATACCTAGAGTCGTACAAATTTATTGATTATAACTTACAGGGTGAAGATATTGATCATCATCAAGTGGTTAGTCCTTCTACTGCAACTAAGGAGGATAAGAGGATAGGAGGAAGGAAAATGGCAGCGGCGAGGTTAGAAAAGGACGTTAAAGTAGTGGCGGAAGGCGGTGTAAGTGGAACTCGGAGGTCCAACAGCTCCGACCTTGAAGGACAATCTTCATGTGGCAATGTGGAATGCAGACAAAGTACTACTGCAAGTCGATTTTCTGAGAAAATAGTCAATCATGATGATGAACATGCAGGTTTTGTAGCTTTTAGTCAGGACTACAATTCACCAAGGCACCACCCTCCTAAGAATAACTGAATGAACATGATTAATGAATGGAGAATTATATACTAATTTCAATATTGTACTAATTATCAACTTTCTAATTCTACTCTGCATTCTTTCTTAATTGGATTTTTTTTTTACCTCCACCTCAGTTTCTTGCAAATTTGAAATTTCTTAAATGTGTATACGTGGTTGCCAAACACAACGATAAATGTGTTAAAAATTCCTTAAAATACTAAAATAAAGTTTGGAATAAAATTTGAAAAAAAGGAGACAAATTGATATTCTCACACTCTCTCCCGTTTCACACTCAATGTTGTATGGTAATCAACATTATAAACCACATTGATACATTTGGTAAATCATCTGGCTTACACGACTGCTGCATTAAACTGTTTATCAAACCTGTGTTGACAACAACAATTAATCTCATGTTTTTTATGACTTCTTTAAACGTTCAAGGTTTGACTTCATATCTACCTTAACATGTTGTATTTTTCTTTTTTATTAATAAATTCTCCTCGTAGTCACCTTCGATGTAGCAATGCTGGAGTGAGATTAACTTTGCGGTCAAATTAAAAAAAAAATTATAAATTATAAAAGTTGGGTGTACATAGACTAGTACATAAAAGATCGATTTAGGAGTGCCAATAGCAGCTCCGAAAACAAATAGGAATTTGGGGAATAAATAATGGTTATTCTTTATTACCGTTTCATACATTTCGTATCAAAGTCCAGGAGACTCTTTTAACTTTTCAGTAAATAATTATTATTCAGATCACATTGAACGAACTGAATGGTATTGTGTTCTTGCCTATGAGGCAGAAGAGCCTGATGATAAATTCACCTTAGCGTCTCTTTCGATTGTCCTGAAAACATGGGAAAGTAAGAATTAAAGAGAAGCAGAAGCAAATGGAGTGGTGCATTCTTTGAAACTCTCTTCAAGAAACTAACCTCCATAAGAACTCAAGGAACTAGCTTCCCCTTGCTGGTTGTTAATGAGGCAA